CACCCCCCCGCCCAGGACATCCATGGAGCAGAACTGGTCAACAGTGCAGAACCCCCGCAGCCACCTGCTGGACCCCCTGAGTGAACTCAAGAGCCACGGCTTTGACACACTGCTCCAGAGCCTGTTTGAGGACCTGAAGGTGCCTGGAGCGCTTTCCCCGGCAACCGTCCGGAGCCTAGGTGGGAGGGCGGGAGGTGCAGAGGGGCGCAGGAGGCCTGGAGGAGCCCCGACGCCCCTCCCCCACGCTGCCCCAGACGGTCCCGCCTGCCCCGCCTCCGTGATGATGCCTAACCCCAGCTCCTGGGCTGGGGGGGGGGGTTCAGCAGCCGCAGTCATGTCTCTTAGGGGCCAAGACGTCTGCAAAAGGGGAGCTGGGGATCCTTCGAAAGGCCAAGGAGGGTTCACTGCCCAGTGTCCCTGGGAGACCAGGGACAGCTGGTGGGTGGCGAAGCCCGGGGCGGTGAGTCTCGGTGACTTGGCGCAGGTCTTGCAGGCCAGTCCAGCAGAAGGCTTTGTTTATGCAGGAATTTATTTATTTAAGAGGAGGCAGTGGAAAGGGCCTCGGGGCCGGCAGACGGGCGGGCCTGGCTCCTGAGCAGCAGCTGGATGGCCTTGGAGGAGAGTGCATGGACTCTGCCCCACTTCCTGTCTGGGGGAGCACGACCTGCCCTCTCTCCGGGTTCCCGGGAGCCCGAGTCCCCAGCCCCCACCGTGGGCCGTGCGTCAGCCTGAGGGTGGCTGTGCCCGGAGCCCTTCCTCTCCAGGGCTGACCAGACATCCTGCCTGTCTCCTGTCTCAGCCCCTGTTCAAGAGGTTCACGAAGACCCGCTGGGCGGCGCCTGCCGAGACCCTGGAGGAAATCCTCACCACCGTGGGCAGACGGCTGCCGGAGTTCCGGGAACTGCAGGACTGCTTCCGTGAGGTGCGGAGCCCCTGCGCTGGGGCTGGAGCTGGGGCTGGAGCTGGGGCTGGAGCTGGAGCTGGGGCCAGGGCCACCCATATACCCCTGCATGGTGCACTCCTGGGCTCTAGCTCCGGCCCTCCCTGGATTCCCCGCTTTGAGGCCTCCAGGGAGGTGGTGAGCTCCCCGCCAGTGGTTGGCTCATGCTGCCCTGGCACTGCCCTGCAGGAGCTCATGGAGGCCGTGCACCTGCACCTGGTGAAGGAATACATCATCCGCCTCAGCAAGCGCCAGCTGGTCCTCAAGACGGCCGAGCAGCAGCAGCAGCTGGCGAGGCACATCCTGGCCAATGCCGGCGCCATCCAGCGCTTCTGCACGCAGAACGTGAGCCTTGCCCGCCCCCTCCAGAGCCCTGCAGCCCCGCGGGGTCTCCAAGCCCGAGTAGTCACTGCCCTGAGCCCGAAGGCCATGGGGCAGCACGGCCTCCCACAGCCTGACCTGTGTCTCCAGGGCTCCCTTGCAAACTGGCTGCAGCCTGCCCTCCCCACACTCGCCGAGATCATCCGCCTGCAAGACCCCAGTGCCATCAAGATGGAGGTGGCCACGTACGCCACCTCGTACCCCGACTTCAGGTGAGAATGAGGGGCCTGGGATCCGAGCGTCAGTGTGGCCCAGCCAGGCCCCACAGTGGACCCCGCAGGTGTCAGCCCCTCAGACCCACACAGCTCAGCTGCTGCTGTGTCACCAAGACGCAGTTGTGCATTGAGCCCTCGGTCCAAGCCACCAGGCTGCCGCTGGGTGTCCCCATCCCACGGCTGAGGCCTGGAGAGCAGGAGGAACGTGTCCAGGGTAGCACGGCGAGCTGACAGCCAAGCAGTGTGGTCCCCAGGCCATGTGCTCAGCCTTACGTGATGCTGCCACTCAGAGAGGAGACTGACTGCAGAGAGCCCAGGGTCTTGCGGGGGAGGGGTCCTTGGGCACTTGGACCTATGCTTTGGGCCCTGGGCCCCCAGTTTGGGAATAGAGGCTTACCTCTGTCCGTCGGAGGGCCGGGTGAGCCAGGAGCATTGATACTCAGAGCTGCACCCTCTGACAAGGGAGGGAAAGTTTGATGTGTTTTTGGTACCAGGAATTGAACTCAGGACCTTGTGCTTGCCAGGCAGGCACTGTGCCAGTGAGCTAAATCCCCAGCCCCACAGGGAAAATTTGAATGGGCCTTGACTGGGGATGATATCCTGGTCCGGCCCCTGGCTGAGCTACCCCATCAATCCACTTGTTCATCTCTCTATCCATATACCACCAACTGATCAGGCCCGCAATGTCCCAAGTAAGTGGATGACAAAGGCTTAAATAAAAGAGACAAGTGGTATGATTTTAGGGCTCCAGGAGGTTCAAAACCCTCTAACAGAATTTGAGATTCTCTGGGGGCTAAGACAAAGAACTTCTCTGGTCAGCCTGTATTCATTTGGTTTTCAAACAAAGGATGGGGGCAAGGGGATACTGAGGAAATCACCAAAATCTGAGCAGGACCTTGGGAGATATTTTCCCAAGTAGTAAATTATGTCAGTCAGGAGAACTACCTTATCTCTAGGGTTTTGTTGTTGTTGTTGTTGTTGTTGTTTTCTGTTTTTTTTTTTTTT